TAGGGACCCGGAGGGGACGGTGGGGACCCAGGGGGATGCTGGGGACCTGGAGGGGACGGTGGGGACCCAGGGGGATGCCGGAGACCCGGAGGGGATGCCGGGGACCTGGAGGGGACGGTGGGGACCCAGGGGGATGCTGAGGACCTGAAGGGGATGCTGGGGGCCCGGAGGAGACGGTGGGGACCCGGAGGGGATGCTGGGGACCCAGGGGGTGTTGGGGACCTAGAGGATGATGAAGGCCTGGAGGGGATGCTGGAGATCTAGAGGGATGCTGGGGCACTGGAGGGGATATTGGGGGCCCAGGGGGATTGTAGGGACCTGGAAGAGATGCTTGGGGCCTAAGGGGATGGTGGAGGCCTGGATCAGAGGGTGAGGGGCTGGTGGGGGAACAGGGGACCTGAAATGCAGGTGTAGAGAATCAAAGGTGAGTATTTGAGGCTGCACACCGGCAGGACGGAAATGGGGGGGTGTCTGAGTGGGGACGTGGTAGGGGTGACATGTCCGGGTCTGAGCATGTTAGAGAAAATGTTCTGTGAACGCCAATCTACCCCATCAGTCTGGAAAGGAAGGACGCAGGCTCGCTGCTACGGGAGTTTGGCAGATGACATGTATGTGGAGCGTGTGCGGAAGAGTACAGATCTGGGTAGAGTTTCATATATCTCATACATGGTCAAGCACAAGAAGGAGCAATTAAGACCTGTCATCTCTTTGAGGGAGAAGCAGATGCATCTTGTAGTCTTGCACCTGGTGAGAGATGTCTGACTCAGTTCTGGAGCTATGCGTTTACAGCTCTGAGTTGGCGACCGTGCCTTGTAAAATCTGGATGCCACTTTATGTCGTTCCTGAACAAAGGGGACACTCTGAGTGAAGGGGAGGGGTGGATGTTGCCCCTTTATTAAATGAGGAAGATACTACCCTGTTTACTTTTGCGGGTGAGATAAGGGAGTTCTCCCCAGTTGGGACTCTGAGCTTTGGAGAGGGGCTTGAGGGGGACTCTTTCCACGTATCCTAAAGCTTACCCAGAAGGAGAGCAGGGAGGATGGCAGGTGGGGAAAGGCAGAGGAGATGGGACTGGGAGGAGGATGAGTTTGGGAGTGTCTGGGTTCTGGGCAGAGCTGAGCACACCAGTGAGGTGGGCTGGTGGAGCAGCGCGAAGGGCTGTGTGATCCTGTGTGTGCTGGGCTGCCTTCACAGGCGGCCTCGCTGTGCCCGGGGTTGCCAGGTGTGGAATTCCTCACTGGGCCAGTGTGTGGCATGAAGTCAGGGAGAACACGTGGGGCGGTCAATGTAGAGAAGAATCCCCCGTAATCCCATCCACACCGGACTTTACAAGACAGTTAGAAATGCAGCTATCTTGGGGTGCCTGGGTGGCTCAGTTGGTTAAGCGACTGCCTTCGGCTCAGGTCATGATCCTGGAGTCCCGGGATCGAGTCCCGCATCGGGCTCCCTGCTCAGCAGGGAGTCTGCTTCTCCCTCTTACCCTCCCCCCTCTCATGTGCTCTCTCTCATTCTCTCTCTCTCAAATAAATAAATAAAATCTTAAAAAAAAAAAGAAATGCAGCTATCTTTCCAGGCATTCCTTCATTGCTTCCTATTTTATGTCTGTCTCGCGTCCCCCCTCCCCCCCCTCGTACACACACACACACACATCTGTATTTTGTACATGTGGAAGTTTGTGTACGTAAGCTTCTGCTGTTTTGGGGCTTTTTTTTTTTTTTTTATCATATATTGTCCACATCTTGCCACAAATCGACTGGATGCTCCTTAATAATTGGATTTCAGTTGTGGTGAATGCAGATCACGGGAGGCAGTTGGGAAAAGTGTGGGAAGCAGAGTGTTTGTCACTGTCTGAAGCTTGAGAAAATGTGGTTTAAAGTGTGTCTTGGGAGAAATGTGAAATTGAGATAGGTGTTGTCTGGGAAGAATCCTGGGAGTCTGCTCCTGAAGCTCGGTTCTTGAAACCAGGTTTCCTGAAAAGGGGGAGGCTTTGGACCAGGAGGTCCACGTGCTCCCCAGGATTGTTGAGGCAGCTGAGCCAGGAAGCCAGGGTAGGAGATGGGACCCCATGTTCCGTGCTGTGCTTCCTCTAGTCCACACGGTGGCCCTCTGGTGCTGGAGCTGGACCACAACATGGGCTGTGTCCCTCGAAGGCCTCTGGAAAGCAGCCCTGGCATCATCTGGGAACTGTGAGAGATGTCCTTTTTGGGCCCCACTCGGACCTACTGAGTCAGAACGTGGGGGGCAGGATGCTGCTCCGAGCCTTGACGTGCCCCAGCACTGCGCTGTCCACACGGCTGGAGGGGACTTTCATGCTAGGGCGTGGTTGGAAATGCAGTGGGAGTAGGGAGAGATCCTCGTTCTCCTTTCCGAGGGTGAGAAGGATGGTGCATGCCATGTGAATAGGCCGCGTTGTGGCCCTGAGACACCCGCAGCAGCACATTTGAACCTCCCAGGTTGAGAGTGGGAGCCTCTGAGGAGCAGGAGGTGGAGGTAATGGAAAAGGTGGCCGCCGGCGCCGGGAGACACTGCTCCCACTGTTCTGCCTCCAGGCCTCCTTGTGTTCAGGAGTCCTTGGAACTTGTGTAAAATGTTGCCGGGTCTGTTCCTTTGGAAACTGACTAAAAATAGGGTGTTTACTTGATGCTGAGGCTCACTCCAGGGCACAGGCCTGGTGCAGGCGTTAGAAGACATCCATAGACAGCAGTGCCTCGTACAGAATGCGGGGCATCGTGCGCTCCATCCACGTGCCTGCTCACATCTCCCCACGAGCATCCCTTGGGGTGCTGCCCCAAGATCTTCCTGTCGTCATTCAGTTCCATTCCCAGGGTCAGCACAGGTCGACGTGGGTTCCGGGCTATAACAGGCGAGGACTGAACAAGGCCTCCAGGAACATAGCATAGATCAGAGACCCGGGTCAGCGGTGGGAGGAGGAAAGCCGTCCATGGTGGACACAGTCGCTATTTCCACGTATATACCTGGTGCCCACGATATGCTGGCATTGTGCCCAGGGCACCCTCCTCCTTAGGTTTGCCTTCTCCAGCATGTAGACTGAGCCTGTCAACATGTAGGCTCCTGGGAGCTGTGGCAAGTGCTGTGTGGTCAGTGAAAGGTCTGTTACAGGGGAAAGGGAGCCGCTGGAGCTGGCCATGGGGTGTGGGGTGCTGGGGCAGGAGAGGAGAGGGCGCCCCTGAGGCACCCGGGGCCGGGGGTGGGAGACCAGGGAGGAAGCATGCTCTCTCTCCAGAGGGGCAGCTGTGTCGGACAGAGGTTAGAACACACAGAGGTGGGCATTGCATTTGGCCACCTGGAGGCCTGGGCAGAGCAGCGTGTCCGGGGCTGGGGGCTGCCTGGCGGTGGGAGCCGCAGCGGGTGTCTCTTGGAGGAGCGGTGGCTGGAGAGGGCTGTGGGGATGTGGGGAGGGGGCCGCTGGTCTGTCCGAAGGTGGAGAGCTTAGGGCGTCTGTGCAGACTGACGAGAGGGTCTAGGACAGGGGAGGGCGAGTGAGGTGGCCCCGTCTTGTGAATGAGGACAGCCACACCCCTTTGTTTCTGCACAGTGGCTGTCTGCTCCCGCCGTTCACCGGCAGGGTTGCGCTCTTGCAGCGGGGACCGTGTGCTCACAAAGCCTAAGGTACTTGGCGTCTGTGCCCCGGTGTCGGAAGGACGGAGAGGTTGGTGTTGCTGGAAGGGGTTGGGATCGAGGGCACAAGAGCGAGGGCCGGCCTTGTAGGGAGCAGGGCACAGGTGGGACACCCGGGGACAGGTGTGGCCGGTGAGTTCACAGCTGAGGGAGAGGGAGGGCGTGGGCATGTTGTTCCTGCTCTGGCCCTCCCCTTCATCTTGGTCACTGCGTCTGTTGGGAAAAATGCCGTGGAAAGGTGTGGTAGGAAGCATGCTGGCCACAGGTTTCTCCGCTTGCTTTTTCCTGGAATCCTCAAACCCGAATGCTGTTCTCACAGTCCTCACGTGCAGTACCTTAGTGAGAAGTGTTTCGTTTCTGCTTCGTTCCTCTTTCCTTGTCCTTCTCTCCTTGTGTTTTTTTTTTTTTAAGATTTATTTATTTATTTGACAGAGACACACAGCGAGAGAGGGAACACA